GGCGCACAGAGTATTAACCGTACGGGATTTATTCGCTTTGAGAGCAATTTTGTTTTGTCTTTGTGTATGCGGGGGTCGCGGGGTTGGGGGCGGGGATATCATATCATTCAAAGTCCCTATTTTCGTGAATACACAATTTCAATTGTAGAAGTTTTACGCCCCTGTCGACACCGTTTAGATCTTAATATACCTAAATTGTTTGTCTTCCCCTGAAGAAGAGACAGCGTGGAGATAAAAAAATATTCAGATTTTAAAAAGTATGATATCACTTCTTAGGCGTTTATTTCGAAGTACGACTGATCCTTTAAGTCTGACGAGTTGATAGCCCGGACGGTGCAATGTTGGCTATGACACTTGAATTCTAATCTATGACTCATGCACTGCCATGGTCGCCGCTATGCTCTCTATAAAAACTTCGTTACTACGAAGTGTGCGCACCATGCACTGGCTCCAAATTGAGTCAAACGGTGCGTTTCGTAGTAAACCGGAATTACGTCAGAAATATTACAAATTATACAGTGGCGTCCAAAACAAACTTGAAAATGTAATCACCCAATCATCGTGTTATAACCTTATGCTACCCGCTTATGCAGCCTACCAATTAAAAGTTTGATAAATTCTGCATCATTTGACGCATCAATAATTTATCTGTGTTAATAGACGCCCGGAATATGGTCACTAAAAACTGACCTTTAAAAATCAGTCTAGGCAAAATTGTGCGATGACGGTGAAATCCACCAACATTGTATATACTTCAATTGAAATGGGTTTTTCCTGTTTTATTTTAGCTTTTAGTCGGTTTTAAAATGACATCTTTGTCGTATATCCAGAGGTGCCTGTGTTGTCAAACTTGTTTTGTTTTTTTTAAGGTAGTCGTCGCTGACTTTTATTTATTTTCTTTTTTAACCGTTTCTCTTTTTCAGACAAACAGGAGAGGAAAAACGTAGGCAAAACAAAACGTATCCGGACCATCTTCACTCCTGAGCAGTTAGAGAGGCTGGAGGCTGAGTTTGAGAGGCAGCAGTACATGGTGGGCACTGAGAGGTGAGTGGTACTCTGGATCTATAGTTTTTTTAAATACATATTATATTTTCTCTAGTTTTAATGTGTGTGTATGTGTGTGT